GAAAAACAAGAAAGACTGCTTGAGCTTGTCCATCGGCAGCTCCCTGAGATCACTGGAAAAGCCTTCTGAAATAACTGCCATCACGAACGAAGAACGGCGTACTGAAAGAATCAATAAGACGTAGGTTCCAGTATTTCCGTAGCGCCTCTGTGTACTCTGTCTATTGATGTTCTAGAAAGCTGAGCTATATTCAATATCAGCGGACAGAAATAACGGTATTTTAAGTCTACGGTTGCGTGCAGAAATGAACTGTAAAGTTTGTCAAATTACCAATGTGATAAACAATTACCCCGTCATACACCATAACAAACACTACAAAACAAAAACGGAAATAACAGCTAATAAAAGACTATCGGTCGATGTAAATAGCTCCTTTGTATCAAACACAATATGGCATATCTATGGCTGTTAAACAGGCAAGCCACGTCAAACTTATATACACATTGCGTTTCATCTATAGAACATTTACGGTCATACTATATTGCAACTACAACTATACTATGTGTACATTATTACATATAACTACAATATAGTAGGATAGGTCAGTTGATGTATACACATGCGGACATAATGTTTGTATAAATTTAACTTGACTATACAAGAGACATACATGTACTAGTAATAGAGTATGTTATATCTATGGTTGTTATACACTTAAGTTAAATTTGTACACATTACGTCACACTTTTATACACATTATATTTGCCTATCTATAGAGCATTTCTTTCCACACTACAATGCAGTTACAACTAATACTATACTCACAAAGGTGGATTCTTCTGCTCAGGTATTTAATTCAAAATTCGACAAGTCCCTTACCAGATTACATCGCACATAAAGTTCATTATATACAAGTTCCGCAACATCTCCGGTCATGCTCGATCCATCTTCAGGGAGCAACTAATATAGATACGATGTTACAGTATCGTTACAAATGAATCAAGAATGCGAAAGAAACTAGACAACCGTGCAACACGCAGCACAAAAACAACACTGCATATTATGAAACCAAATGAAAGGAATACATGGAGAGTGAAGCTTTCTAAACCGGAAGATGCGTTGGTAATATAATCAAATTAATGCATGAATAATGGCGATGGTGCGGAAATAAGTTCGCACAGTAACTAAATTATGAAGCAGCTTCCACACCACTTTCGAGGCTAAAACTTCCACAGTGAAGTTTGTATATGAATGCACCGACGTATACTGTAACATCGTATCTATAAAATGTCTTTCGCTGAATACGGATCGAGCATGATCAGAAACGTTGGAGAGC